TTGCATATTTATCCTGTACAACCGCCCTTTATATTTTTGATTTGTTGCAGTTAGTGTTTTTTTTTTCGCTTCCGAAATAAGCGGACTATTGCAGGAGTTCAGGCATAAGTTTGGAAGGTAGATAGGTGAGTTGGAAGGAGTTGAAATTTGTGTCTACTTTAACGAAAAAGTGGGTGTTCGGTACGGTAAATCTTCGAAGTACGGTCTCCGGCTCGAAGGATTACTGTTTGTTGCAATTCACAATGTTCTTGAAGTGTCTGCCTACCTCTTCACATGTGAGTGCAAGCTGTAATATCATCGGTCGAAAGCAAAGCAGCGAGGAATGAGTAATATGTTTTTTCACGATCACATAGGCAATCGGATTCTCCACTAAGTGAGGGGCGTTTCTAATGACGTTGCGAACGCGTAAAAAACCAAATTTTAAAGGCAGGACATGCTGCTTTTGCTAAAAACCGGTGGCTATCCAGGTGGAAAAAGCGCCTACTCGGTCGCCCTTCGGAAAGTTGGCATATTTTCATTGGATAGAAGCTGGGTACCTGACTGGAACATGCAGCTCAGGAACAAAGAAGCCGTGTATCTCTGCCAGATGTGTGAGTCTTCAGATCGTTGATCGCCGATTTTCAGACCAAAAAAGGTATCTTACTAGCTGCTGGCCAATAACTGTAATCCTTTTGTTCCTGGATTTTCCTGCATCTTCCGAAAAAGAGTTGTAAGAGATTCTTTCTCCCGCCCCTCCCCTTCATTTCGTTTCGTCACATTTCTAGTTTCCTAATGAGGGGTTTTGCACATTCAGTCAGAACGAATCAAGCACAGTTCGTACGAGACTGCAACGAACAGTTCAACTGGCAAACACTTTTAACTGCATCCTTTGCTTTTACGTCTTGTCTTTATATGTTCTTGTGTTTTTACTTTTATAGTCCAATAATGTTCAGAATTCAAATCTAAAATACGGTGATGATGGCATTCTGCGCACTATTTCGCAGTTCCGCTTCATGCATGTTTTGCGTTTAACTTTCACTTCTCAAATGCACGCTGATTGAAAGATGATCGAAATAAACGTAAAATTCTAGCGTTTCATAACCCAGGCAGTCCGTATTGTTAAGAAAAACTTAATTTTTGTAGCATATTTGATCCTGAAGCGAAAATTGCTTCGCTTATGAAAATGAAATTGGTTTAGGATATTTCGAGTGAATCAAATAAAAACGGTTTACTTTGAGCAAGTCTGATTTGGAACTGAGATTCGCGTGGCGAGCTTCAGACGGAGTTACATGTTTGTCTTTGCACTTTTAAAAAATTGCAGACTAAACTCTTTGATTCTGATTTACGGTGTAAGCTGATTTTGTAGATTATTGCTCTGTCCGCTAGAGTGAGCCAGTTTTATTGAGGAGGAAGAGAGAGAAGATTGCTTCAGCACTTTTTTGAGATCATTTTTATACGTTTTTGCCTATATGCAAATTGCAATAAATGGCAACGCGCACCAGACTAGCCGGTACGATCATGCGTTTTGTGCAATTCAGCCCATCG